ACCAAGGCCTTCCTAGATATAGAGCCGGCACTGCCTGCCACGCCTCTTTCAAGGTAACGAAAACTCTGAACCGTTGTCTTTGTGTGCTTTGCCTATGGAAGCACCAAAAAATACAGTAACATTTTCGAAAGTTTCATCACTTAATCTCTTGTGAATCTTGCTTAACTTCTACGTGTGGACCTTGCAGGCCACCATGGAAGTCCCCTATGACATCCTCAGCCACATACTCGAGCGGATTGACTCGCACATCTCATTCATCCACGCCGCGGCGGTTTGCAAGCTTTGTGTCGCACCATCGCCAGCACCGACTTCCTCTGCCAATATCGCTCCCTACACTCGTATGCCATCGCTGGGAATTACCACTAAGATGCCCCTGCTCAACCTTATTTGATGGGTTCACATGCAGAAGTAAGAAGGAGTGTAGGCCCGGTCTTTGTTCCCTCATCACTGTCAATCCACACCCGACACTTCACCCTTGATTTCCTCCCCGGCATGATCGACTTCCCCAGTCGTTGGGACATCCAAGACAGTCGTGGCAGCCTCCTACTGATGCATCACTGCGGATCAAATCCATTACCACACAGGCGCCCGGACATGTTCGTCTGTGAGCCGCTTACGCGGTGCTACCGAAGGATCCCTCCGCAATCGTATTTTAATGATGATTTTTACTTCTGGCGATCCTACCTTGCCGATGGGGCAGATAGTCACATGAGCTTCTCCAACTTCAGGATGATGTGCTTGTTCATCCGCCGCTATGATTACTACTCGGTCGCCACCGTATTCAGTGAGGCTTGTGGTGCTGGCTCATCATGGAGCGACAAGACCATCGGCGACGCTGACCCATTACTCCCTGTGATGAGGTTTTTACGCTGCAGCAAGGACTCATGGCATTTCTACGCTATGGACGGGATACTAGCTAGCCACCCTCAACAAAAGCACCGATGAGCTCTCTACCTCTCCATTGCCGTCCACTGAGGATTGGAGTGGATGTAATAAATATAACATGAACGTCGGCATCGTTGACAGTTGCGATGGCGTGCTACGCATCATCGTCATCTTGGAGCATAATAGTGCTAAGGTGTTCGCTAGACTTGACGTCAGTGAGTGGGTTCTAGAGAGGAGAGTGACGCTATCGGTGGTGACCCGTGGCCTGTCAGGGTACCGGCCTTCATTCTTCAACCATCGCCTGTGCATCTCAACGAATAGCCCCGGGTTTGTCATCTTAATGGCGCAGCCTGCAGCGCCGTGGTTCTTCTCCATCGACCTTGAGACAATGAAGGTGGCCCTCGCAGCGTGTGACATGGGGCGTATTGTGTATCAGAGTGAGCTACCATGGCCACCGGCTTTGAAGGCCTGCTTAGGCAACTGATGGCATTCGCTAATGTAAGTATCTTACTATTTTGTTCCATCAAAGAACACCAGTATGGGAACTCATGGCACAGAAAATTGGCAATTGAGGCTATTAAAGTTCCCAAAATGGGCAATTGAGGCTATTAAAAGCCAGATGGCTCACTTTCTGTGGGATAAAGTAGGTGATAAGCATAAATACCACTTAGCTAATTGACAACTAAGTGGGAACTCATGGCACAGAAAAAGGAGTTTGGGGGACTAGGCATTCCCGATTTAAGAAGCTTAAACCAATGCTTGTTAGCTTCCTGGATTGCCAGATTTTATAAAGGGGAAGAGAACATTTGGAAGATGATTTTCAAGGGAAAGTACAGTGTGAATCACCCTTTTTAAAAGGAGGGTTGCTGTGGGCAGCAGAAGCTGCAAAAATAGATTTCAAGTGGGTCATCGGGAACGGTAAAAAAAATCGGTTTCTGGGAGGATTGGTGGATTGCCAATTCTAGTCTAGCAGTTCAATTCTGGGACCTTTATAAGATAGTGAATGAGCAAAATTGCATCATTGCAGAGGTCTGGGATGGAGTTAACTTGAAGTTAACCTTCAGAAGAACAGTCTCTGAACAGGTCATGCAAAGTTGGTACGAATTGCTGGCTGTAGCTGAAAGCATCAATTTCTCAGAAACTGAAGATTCTGTGTGCTGCGCATTAGAATCCTCGGGAAAATTCAGTGTTCAATCGATGTACGAATTGATCTCTTTTAGGGGGGTTATACCTAGCCATATCCCTGCTGTGTGGAAGTTAAACATTTCACCGAGGGTACAAATTTTTCTGTGGCTGCTATATAATAACAAGCTCTTGACTAGAGATAACTTGAGTAAAAGAAGGGAAGTCAGTGATAAAACTTGCCTGTCCTATAAGGAACAAGAAACCGTAATATATCTTTCTTTGATTGTGGGGTTGCTAAAGTCATTTAGTCTAGGATAAGTGAACTCGTGGGTAAACAGATTGGTACAAATTTTGAATCTGTGGCAAGATGGTGAGTTAGCAATAAGAGAAACAGTGTGCTAAACATGCTTTCTTCTGCTGCCTTATGGACAATATGGAAAATGAGAAATGCTTTATGTTTTAAGGGAAGATCGTGGAGCCGAATGCAGGTGATGGTGATGATGATAGCCAAGATGATGAGGAGATGGAAGTTACTGTGCGCAAGCGAAAGCGAGGAGAAACTGGAACAGGTCGCTGTAGCTTTGGAGGAAGAAGCCATGAAGAAATCTGCTATCCTCCTTGTGGAAGGTGGCCTCCGGGAGTGCCTGCTTTGGGTACGAGGCAAGAAACAGTTACTCTCTGATGCCTATGAGAATCATGTAATGCCGCGCGAAAGCGAGAGGAGCGAGAATTTGAATGCTGAGATTACTGTAATAAGTAGGGACCTGGGTCGTGAGGCAAACAATGCTGTAACAGACATTTCGTTCCATTCGTTTGAATGAAACGAGTGGAGACCTAATATTCTAAAAAAAACAAGTAGCTTACTGTGTTTTTTTCTAGCGAGTAATGTATTTTGCTCTGATCTATCCCAGTTGAGTCAGCTTAGTGCCTGTTTAGATTTCTATCACTGCCTGCATATTGTGTATGTATCCAAGTCGACTAAGCTGGTCATATCTTGTTGCCTCTTGAACCTGGCAATTTGTGTCGTGCGGCTTAAGTGATGCGTTGGGCTGGTCAAGGTTGCCATAAAGTCTGAGAGACTCTGTGTGGAGAATTGGTAACTAAACAACTGGAATGATTGTTTTCTTTCTGCTTCAGTGCAGTGTGTTGGGCAGGTCGCAACCCTGGAGAAATCTGAGTGGGCGCTTTGAGAACAAGCATATTTCGGTGATTGGGAACGAATTGCAGTGGCTGATTGTACCTACGAGAGAGGAGCCTTGACTGCTGAAGTTCATTATGAGGAAAAACCAAGATGCGTGAGGAGGTAGCTGAATGAATGGAGTTCGTATATGTACTGTGTGCTGCAAGTTTTTTAGCTTGTGTTTCAGTGTTTAGTATAACTGGTGTCGCACCTTAGTTTATGTATGGGTTATTTCCTCCATTTTTATTGGTTATTGACTGTATGGATGCTGGTATCCCCAAGCTGGGTAACTGTTGGTGCTCAACTTTGGTACTGCTCCTGTGGATTTTATCGAGATAGCCTGGGTAATAAAGTGCCGTTCTTTTGATCAAGGCTGAACATCACAATTTATGACAATAGCGTAGTGGAGTAATAATTCGGTGGTCCATTGAGTTTTTTTTTTTTTCTTTTTTGGAAGTCGGGAGGGGAGACCCTTACCCCTTCAGAATTTAGTAAAACAGAGAATTCAGTACATAGTACATACGACTATATGAGTGCATTTGCATTTGCAAATGCAGGATCGAGGAAACAGAAAGTTACAGAGTGCTGATGGTGCATGCAGGCACAAACGAGGCAGGAAATCAAAACAAAGAAAAAAAAGGAGCACTAATCAAGTGTCTAATCCTTTGACGACGAGCTTCTTTTCGCGCCATCTAAAACTGCGGTTCTAGCTAACCAAATGTTCCAAGCTACGGCTGTAAAGATTTCAGCCAAATCTTCCTTGTGAGCTCGTTGTGTGTTCTCGATCGGTTGGCGATGTAATGGCATGCAGAATCCTGTTTGTGTTGCGGAGGCCCTACAAAAACCCCAAACCGCGAATTGATACGATTACACGTGAACAGAAGGTGTGTGAGGCTTTCGTCAGAGTTACATACTTACATCCATATGGACAGGCAGCAGATTCAGACGTAGTACATTTCTTCTGGGGCCAGTGAGGACCAAATAGCGAGCCGTATTTACCGGGCACTGATGAGCACCAGTGCACGCATGCAGTAGCCATATGGAATATGCATGCAGTAAGAAATAATTGTCGGCTTAGAAGTGGTGTCTTTCATGTGGACCAAAAGGGGATAATAAACATCAGGGAAGAACGAAAGCTCCACTGCGGTGGCCTCTACTGCTTTACTCATGAATATTAGCAGTTCAAGGGTGTACTAAAGATTTTTTTTTTTTTTTTTTTTTTGAGGAAGGGTGTACTCCCTCCGTTCAAAATTAGATGTCACTGTTCATTTTTAAACATCACGTTTGACCGCTCGTCTTATTCAAAAAATTTATTCAAATATAAAAATAAATATGTCATGATTAAAATACATTCAATAATAAAATAAGTTGTAAAAAAATAAATAACATTTGTGTAAAAAATTTGAATAAGACGAGCAGTCAAACGTGATGTCTAAATAAATATGTCATGATTAAAATACATTCAATAATAAAATAAGTTGTAAAAAAATAAATAACATTTGTGTAAAAAATTTGAATAAGACGAGCAGTCAAACGTGATGTCTAAAAGTCAACAGTGACATCTATTTTGGAACGGAAGGAGTACTCAAGTAACATTGCCATGGCTAGTGATGGCCAAATCGGCTGGGACAAACAGGCAGGTAGGAAGCACGAAATTTTTAGCCCGGCAAAAGCACGGCACGGCCCGGTGAAATTTGTGCCCGGGCCGGCACGGCACGAGGGTTGGGCCGTGTCATGGGCCGAAGGTGCGGCCCAATGGGCGGCACAGCACCATATTAAGTATATTTTATTTTTTATATAGGGCATCAAGTGTAAAGTAGTCTAGTGGCAAGTCTTTTGCTTTCCAAGCTCTAGTTTGGGGTTCAAATCCCCACTTTGTCTTTATTTTTTTTATTTCCAAGGTTTTCAACAATATTGGGCTGAAAAGATGATAATTGGTTACGGGTAGCACGCTTTAAGATTCGTGCTAACGACAAATCCAGCGGCCGCGGTTCTTTCTCCTACCTCCGTCTCTCCACCACGCCTCTCACTTGTGCCGCGCCGTCGTCGCTCTGTCGTCGCTCGGATTTCCTACGCCCCCGTCGCCCGGCTTCCTAACGCCATCGTCGCCCCGCTCCCCCGCACCGCCGTCGCTCGCTCCCTCATGCCGCCATTGCCTTGCTCCCCCGTGCCGCCATTGCCTTGCTCCCCAGTGCCGCCAATGCTCCTCCTCTCTGAGCAGCCCTCTTCCTCTCCCCGCGCGCTGGAACATTTGAGATCCTTGGTAGAACAATTCCAAGATTTTATGGAACAATTCTTTGATGCATAGAACAATTTCAAGATTGTATGGAACATTTATTTTGACCGAGGGAACAACTGTAGGTTTTGCCAGAACAGTTCATGTTTCTCTCGTCGGAGTCATCGCCGACGCCGGGTGAGGAGACGGTGGCGGCGGGGACGAGCTCGAATCGATGACGGTGGGAGGAAGAAGGGTAAGCGCACATGGGGCGGCGTGGGCCGCGCTACGCGTAGTGTGCGGTGGCTATGGGAGGCCCCCTGGCCATTCCTATAATTAGCTCGCACTATGCTTAGTCAACATATAGCGCGCTTTTAGATAGGTGTGGGAAAACAGATCGCTGCGGTGTTTTCTTTTGCTCTCTGTCTGCTTTTCTTCTCACCTTCCCCGCGCCGCCGCCGCCACCCCCGCTTCCTCACGCCGCCCTCCAGCTTCCCCGCGCCGCCGCCGACGGAAAAATTGTTTTGAGTTTAACGAGAATTGTTTCGGCCGCCAAAACAAATGTTTTGGGCTGCCGGATTCACGGCGACGATGGGGCGTAGCTTCGTGGCGACGATTGGGCGCGGAGGAGCGATGCCCGGCGGCGGTTACGCGAAGAAGAAGCCGCCGTGGGCCGCGTTACACGCACGCTTGCGGTAGCGCGGCCTACATATAGGCGGTCTCTCACACGTAGGCGCCGGAGGATCGACTTGGTAGACAATCGGCAGCCAGGCTCGGCGGCTCGGCCCATTGAGTTTGTCAAAAGGCCGGCTCATTCTTCCGTCACTGGCCTCTCTTGTTCCTTCTCCTGCCACCAGTACCAGTCTATCATCACCATTGCTCGTTCCCCCCAGTCCCTCGCCTCTGCTACTCGACATGGACGCGGCGGCTGCTGATCCGCCTCCGGCTAAGGCTCCTTCTCCGGCGACGCCCAGTTCAAGGTAGACATCCCCTTTGCCTTTCGAGTATGTTGGGAACTCAGATCTCAGCCAACATCCCTGTTTTGTGGAATCATTAATAATTTCGTCCGAATCCCCAATGTTGCTGCTAGGGTTCGCACCATGGATCTGAACATCGACGCCCTGGAGCTCGTCTTCAAGCGGGTCGATTCGCCCGTCTCCCTCATCCGCGCCGCGGCCGTGTGCAAGCGCTGGCGCCACGCCATCGCCGACCCGGCCTTCCTCCGCCTTTTCCGCTCCCTCCACCGCCCGTCGCTGCCGGCTCCTACAACAACGCGGAACAAACAGACGGTCGCATCAGGCCGGTTTTCGTCCCCGCATCGCCGTCCGTGGACGCCCGCCACTTCTCCCTCGATTTCCTCCCCGGGGGCGGCTCCGAGTCTTGGGCCATCCTGGACAGCCGCGGCAGCCTCCTCCTGATGTGTGGGGGAAACCCATATCAGCGCGTCACGGAGATGTTCGTCTGCGAGCCCCTCACACGAAGGTGCCGGAGGATCGATTTCAACAGCAAATGCTGGGTGTGGGGATCCTACCTCATCGACGGTGACGGGGATGAGGCAGGTAGTCACATCGGCATCTCCAACTTCAGGGTGATCTGCTTGAATTTATTCGAATCAGACAATGATTTCTTCTCCATATTCAATGAGGCTGGTGGTGCGGGCTCGTCATGGAGCCACAGGTCGACTGGTGGGCTGAAGTCTAAACTGGTGAGAGGCAGTTTAGGCGTCACCATGGACTCGGTGTACTTCATGAGCAAGGACTGGAAACTGGCCACCCTCAACAAAAGCTCCGGCGAGTTCTCTACCTCCCTAATGCCGCCAATCGAGGAGGTCATGCGTCAGTATGCTCTGCTGAGAGCCCCCGAAGTTTGCGCCGTCATCAACGGCCGTGATGGCAAGCTGCGTGTCTTCTTCATATTTCCTGATAACAGTGTTAAGGTGTTCGTGAGGCTCGACGCTGGTGACTGGACTCTAGAGAGCAGTGTGCTTCTGTCCGAAGCAGCCCGTGGCCTTCCAGGGTACAATCCTTCTTACTTCGAGCGTCCCAAGCAGACGATCATCACAAAGCGGCGCCCCGGTTTTGTGATCTTAATGCCGCGTTGTCGAGGGCTTTGGTCATTCTCTATCGACCTTGAGACAATGGAGGTGGCCCTCGCATTGCCTGGCATTGGGAGTCCAATGTATCAGTGTGAGCTACCATGGCCACCGGCTTTTCATGCTTGCTTATAAAGTTGATGCCACATGCCTGCTTGCATTTTTATCAGTGCCTGCAAATTGTGAGTCCAAGTCAAGTTAGCTGGTTCTTTGAAAACAAGCTGATTGCAGTAACTACCTCATAGCAACAGCAGATTTTCCGTACCAAGTAGTCTGCTGGAGTGAAGGAAAAGCCAATAGCAACAGCTCCAGAGGACGAAGCTGAATAAGCGAGTTCGAATATGTGGCGTGCTGCACATTTTAACTTTCGTCTCACTGTCTGGTAGAACTTGTGTCGCACCTTGTTTATGTATGGGTCATTTCATTTTGTGTTGGTACTTGTCTGTATGAAAGATGGTATTCCCAGCCGGCAGCTGTTGGTCTTGAACCTTGTCACTGTACTCGTGGATTCCGAACATGTGGTGGTATTCCCATTTCCCAGTCGAGTTCAAATATGTGGTGTGCTGCACATTTTAACTTTCTGTGTCACTGTCTGGTAGAACTTATGTCGCACCTTGTTTATGTATAGGCCATTTCTTGTCTCTGTGAAAGCTGGTATCCCCAGCCGGCAGCCGTTGGTGCTGAACCTCGCTACTGTACTCGTGGATTTCTATGTAGTGTGGGAAATTAAGTGTCCTTTGTTTGGTCAATGGTGAACATCGCAGCCTGTGGTTTGCCGACTGGTCATTGACTGATGTCACAACTGATTGATTTTCCATGCTTTGGGTCGCCACTTGCTCTCTGTCGTCCTCTATGTCAAAATCTTCATCAACTTTTTTTTTTTTTTTAGATTAAAATCTTCATCAACTATTTACCTATGTTCGCACTTCATCTTTCAGTTGGAATGGGCCAGGAAGAGTCTGAAGTAGCAATGGCAGGCCACGCGGGTTAACCTGCCAAGATGACGGGCCAAGAAGGTGCAACCTGGCCCGGCAGGTTAACGTGCTAACGCTCAGTTGGAATGGGCCAGGCCCAACGTACTAGCGGATTGTATAAGCTCAAAGAGTCAAAGGCATGTCTCTCTCCATCCCGTCGGACCATAACTCCCCGTCCCTTCACCCTTTGACCCTTGTATCTACCTTGTGACATGATGAAGAATTCCAAGCTACTCCTTTCGTTTTTAAATTGTTGTCGTCATTGACTTTTTTATTTACGTTTGACCGTTCGTCTTATTCAAAATAGTTGTTCGAATATGCAAAATTATAAGTTAGGTTCAAACTTACTTTGAAGATAAAACAAATCATCACAAAATATATGATATTTTTAAAACTTTTTTGAATAAGACGAATGGTCAAAGATAGCAAAAAAAATCAATGGCGACAACAATTTAAAAACGGAGGGAGTATGTGTTAGGGCTAGCATGTCGAACCTGAACGACGACGTGGTTGACCTCATCCTCGAGCGGATCGGCTCGCACGTCTCCCTCATCCGCGCGGCGTCCACGTGCAAGCGCTGGCGCCGCGTCATCGCCAACGCCGCCTTCCTCCGCCGCTACCGCTCCCTCCACGCGGCCACCGTCGCCGGCACCTACTACAACCACACCCCCATGCAAGGCCCGGTGTTCGTCCCGTCGCCGTCAATTCCAATCGACGGCCGCCGCCACTCCCTCGGCTTCCTCCCGCACCACGGCAAGAATAAGTCGTGGGCCGTCGTCGACAGCCGCGGCGGGCTCCTGCTGATGCGTTGTCACGGCGTGAACCCCGAGGCTACCGACTCCGGCGGCTTCTGCGGTGATGTGATGGTGGTATGCGAGCCTTTGACGCGGCGGTACAGCGAGATCCCTCCGCCGCCGGCGATATCGAACAGTTTCAATAATCATCACTACATCAATGGATCCTATCTCGTGGACGGGGATGCCGCCGCCGACGAGGCCGGCGGACGCATCGGCATGTCAAATTTCAGGGTGTTCTTCGACCTTTGTCACAATTTGGGTGACGGCGCCCCGCACACCGCCGCCGTGTTCACTGTCGGTGCCGCCGGCGACGGCGCCTCGCGGTGGAGCGAGATGGCCTTGGATGACGTCATGGCTCCAAGGCACGGTCGCGCCGAGAAGACGAAGACCTTAGCGTATCCACAATATTGTCGCGCGCGTGTATTGGGCACCGTCGCAGGCTCGCGGTACACGTACCTGGAAGGCGGGACGATGGTCGCGCTCGACTGCAGCACCGGCCAGTTCTCGTCGTCGCAGCTCCCGGCCTCCAAGTACACATGGGACCTCACCTCGTGGCCGTTCAGCTTCCACGCCGTCGAAGGCCACGACGGCGAGCCGCGGCTCTTCACCCTCTTCTTCGATGAGATGAGAGTGTTCGCGCGGAGCGGCGGCGGCGACTGGAAGCTGGAGAAGAGTGTCCGGCTGCTGGAGGCGACCCGTGGCCTGCCGGGGTACGATGACCCGTCGTTTTTTAAGGTGAGATCGCGGCGAGCTTTCAAACTCTTGACGAGAGGCCCCGGGTTTGTCATCCTATACACGCCGTT